AGAAAAGAGAGTCGCAATGGCGGTGATAATTCTTTCAGCGAGTAAGTAGGATCAAATTTTACTTCCGCAGTACGCTGACGTTTTGTAAACAAGAATCTTTGTATTTGATACCATAATTTATTGACAGTAGGGCCCTGTGCATTTATCCATGGGCAGAAGTAAAGAATATTGATAGACCTTTTCAGTTTAACAATTATCGAACATCGGCTGACAGTGGGCGGGAATACGAAAGGGCTTTCAGTCGGTGAACTATTTACCTTTTGTCCGAATGGGAGTATTTGACCACCCAATGTAAATAATAGAAACATAATATTAGCATGTGAATGAGTCCAAGCAGATGAACCACTCAATCAAAGTAAAATTGACTCATCGGAAAGTACATGAAAGATAGCTTTCACACGCTATCCTTTATAATATGTAGATATTTGAGAATTTTGCGTCCGTTACCAGTTGATAGCTTAATAATTATCTAGTATTTTAATCAATTCATTTTTTTAGACAAATATCGACGGAGAATTCTAGATATTACGCTATTTGAAAAATTAGCTGGCATCTTGAACAAGTAAAATGCTTTAAACATTGGATTGGTTACTCACTGTTAATATTATTTCTGATTTCTCGATATCATAATTTTGTATTAATTAATGATTAATGAAAGTTTACAATAAAAAAAAAGATTTACGTTTTTATTTCATTTCAAATCACAATGACTTAATATTCAATACAGTCTATCGTGTAAATTGCACTTTACTTTTCTGGCGATCACATTATTTTATTGAAAAAAGATATACAATTGACATTAGACGTTATTATGTTACGACCTCAGTATCTCTATGGTCCTTGTTGAGTGAGCTTTTTTTTGTAAACGATGGCCCCATGCAGTATTGAGGTGAGTTAAATTATATATATAATGAATAATAAACAAAATCAACGGTATGACATAACACGCGATAATAACGAGACCTGAAATGTGGCAAGTCAGTTTGATTTTGTTTTAGATATTGGGAGTTTCTTTCAGTTGAATATGTTCAAGCCCTTAAAGTACATATTTTAATCTGAAATTTCATCGGCATTATATTTCATGTCACGTTACCTTGCTGAAAATTTTGTACAAATACCAGATTTTGTATTCAATACCTATGCATGATAGATCGAAAAGGGAATATTTTAGTTGCCGTTTGTTCAAGATTTGATTCGAGCAGCTTCGTGAAATACGTGATCGACTTTGACGTTTAGATTTGCAATCGTGTCGCAAATAACGGAGCTAAATAATAAGTTGATTCTGGCAAGTTCTATTCGTAAAACCTATCTGATTTTCAGATTGACCGTGGATATGTCGATCAGAATCGCGGCATAACGTTATTAAATAATAAGTTGTTTGAGGACAATTGCTTCCATACCATACAAGTTAAGAATCGAAGTCATTATGCAAATAACGCTTTTAGAATGCCACTCCGGAGTGATTAGGTACCGAATAACTCCCAAGTGTAGCATGTATTTATCTCTCAAGGAAAGTCACTACAATCATTGTTTGTTTACCACTTTTTGCAACGAAGCTTTGCGTGTCGACGGACGCGTGAACCTCGGTCACATTTTGTTCACAGCGACATCTGGTTTCATTTGACAAGAAAAAGTAAACTTCACAACACTTCAACACACTTATAAGTTGTCCTGTTGAAAAATCAAGCAACCAGAATGAAACGAGGTAACACTATTCCAACTCAATATAACCGATAGGATATCGAATGCGCATGCAATGCAGCCATGGAAGATGTTCACATCCATCGGTGTTGGAGTTGGGTTTCGATGTAGAGCAGCGATCGGTAACAGGAGATCCGATCATTGTCTTACAGGTCAAACCGACATACTTGGAGCGGTTAACTTTGGATGCATTGAGTGTCACATTCCCTTTCGATAATGTGGGACAAACCGCCCCAAGTAGGGAATTGTGACAGCAACAGGTGCGATATATCATATTATGTAAATTCTAAATTGGTACAGCGTGCTATCTACGCAGAAAAGAAAAACGCCAATACGTAATCACGTATCAGACGTGAACTTAAAACCTGCGAAAAACTTGGGTTTTCTCTCAAGAAATATTGCAAAGTGAAGCAAAACAATAACGGAATTATAATTGATTATTTGCTTTTATGAACAAAGCTTTTAGTTGTATACTTAACGGTACTTTCTTTTGAATAGAATGTCATTTTGTGGCGAGAAGATTTTCGGTATAAGTTGTAATGTCTCAATTTCAAATCGTTTCCTGCGATATTGAGTATTGAATAGGCTGCGCGCCAAAATGTGTTTATTCTGTGGTTACGTCAGCGGCTTTAAACAAAGGAATCGATTATGATCTCATCTCGTTCTTCAGGTAGCAAATTATAGTCCGAAATCCCCTATACAGTTTGTTGTTTATTGTTTTCAAAAACTGAGGAAATTGTGGCCGTTGCTATTTAATTAACCGCAATTTGTTTGACTGTACTTACGTGTGTTTTGATACCCATAAATGATCATTTTCGGATGAGTTGTAGGAGAAAGTAGTAAAGTACACACTTCATTTTGTTAATATGAAACCAAATTCAATGCAGTATTGGTGGCAGTATTTTGACGTTATATTTGTAAATACCGCTATGAAATCTCGTCGACTCGGCAATGGGATTAAAAAGTTTGCCCCAACTTTATGTGCATTGAATTTGAAATACTGCGTCATTGGTGACTCGTAAAGAATCTGCAATCGAGGGGCTACAAAACGCAAGATAATTTTTGTGCATGGTATGGGGTTTATAAAGATATTTTGGGAACCTAATATGCGGCACCTTGAAAAATCTGGTTGTATTTCTATCTTGTAATTATTTAAGAGGTATGATGACGTAAGCCAGTGACGACCAAAATATCTCTCGATTGATAGCTAATTTCGTACTACAAGGGCCCTTCTATATTTTATTAATAGGCCCTTGTAAATGTATGCGGGCAATCCAATTCTAAACCCTCGCATTCATACCAGTTCACGTATCAATTACCGACGTAATATCAGCGTATTGAGAATTTATAATAATTTTCGTTTCACAATCTATAAGAAGTATCCTGATATGGTAACGCATATAACGAACCCAACTAATATTACGATTAGCGCTTGGTTGGAACCGTCGGCGGTTGACCGCGAAATCTAGCGAAAATTATAAATTGCTAACGAAAAATCACGTTAAATATCGAGACAGGGACAGACCGCAATTACGCATAGAAGAATCAGCAATCAGTTTTTATAAAATGTATTTTACACCCCAAATAATGACCTTGAATGAAATATCAATTGTGATGACGAACGCTATGAAATAACTCGATTTAACGGCGAAAGATGCGACTTTAGTTTTATATAGGTTCCGTACGTGGGAACGACGCTTGCGAAAACCCAGCTGGCGACGATTCAGTTTACATAAATATTGGTCGTCCGTTGCGGCCAGTCAGCTGAGCAATAGCGAGCGACAGGTTTCCATAAAGAAACACTATTGAAGAAAAAATATGAACGTCGATGGGGAAGTTTGAGACAAATAAATACTGCTTTCAATTCATGTGCGAATTCAGTGTTGAGTGGAATTAAGTCACGCGCGGTCGCGATTGCTAGAAATTGAGTCATAAAACAGAATTCAATGGATGACATATCTTAGCAAAAAGTGAAGCGCTGATAATTTATAGATGCCATTTTATAATAGTCAAAACGCCCAGTGGGACCTCGCCAACAAAAATTGAACCGAGTTTCTAATTAGAGTTCAAAAGCATGTAGCACTGAAAGCGATATGCCTTCACCCAAGTTCGTCGTTATCTAAGTTACAGACATGTGAAGCTGATAGTAATTTGTCATCGTTAATCTACGCACTTTTCCACGAAGTGTACTTTCAGCTAAATTTTCTTTCTCAAGACTGAAGGACCCGTTTTTTAGCTGCTAACAGTTTCTTTCGGTGGAAAATTTATTACGAAGTAGTAATGACTAAGAAGCAGGCTGTACGTTGCTATAAATTTGTTAGTTTGGTACCATCTTGAAATATTTGGCGTATTGTAGAATTACTAAAATATTGCATTTATACTTTCTTCTTCAGTTTAGCAGTGTGTTTCAATTATGCCAGTCTCTTCAAGATTGGTATTCGGTCACAATATCTGACATCGTATTCGCATCTATATATTATATTAAAAGTTTTTTGAAACTAAACCCTGAGAAATAACCCGAATGACAAGGCTAATGGTATTAAGAGACTAAAGGATTCTAAGCATTGGCGTTATCTACCACCCCATCTATGTAACCAGTTGACCTGATGCTACTTAGCTTTGTTTTGTGTACAGTAAACAGATACTTGGTTACTTCTGTCTGCCTGTCTCCTATCCCTGTATCCGTGGAGTTTTGCATAAGTCTGTAATTGCGAAATTCTGCAACATACGCGGACAGCACAATTGACAGACCTATTCAGACGCGGTGCAGTGCAGAGCATTGGGGCAGGTTGCCACACATGTGAAAAGTTTTGTCTAGTTCTGAAATATGTTTGCCTAATTCTTACTGTGGTGATGCCTAAAGATTAACGATGCAAACAGATTATTTACTGAAAGCAAGAAAATTCACAAATTTGCAGAACATAATGTTTGTTCGGAAGTACTGAAGTAAGGGTATGCGAGAGCTGTTAAATAAATAGTTGTAATTTGAAATGGTGCGTGCACCAGTGCACTAGTTTATTCATTTTACGACTGAACTTTACTACAATTTTGCACCTGAAGAACCTAAACCGCTAATTTAACATTTCCATCATATAGCGTGAAAACTCGTTTGAAATATTGTCTACTCTTATAAACGGGTACGAAATTTCAGAATGCGAGGCATGTAAATTTCAAAAAAAAACGTATGTTTTTACCAATTCGTTCTCCCAAACACAAAGTTTTAGCAGTTGATTAAAATTTACTTCAACTGAATAACAGAATAATGTACTGACCGAACTACTTAACTACTTTGCAGCTTTTCTTATACCTTAGTCAATTATATTCAGCGACAAATCAACAAAAAGAAGATTTTTACAAAACATCTGCAATATCAGAGAAACGTACAAACCTTAGCTATGCATATCGACAAGTTTCCTGTGACTCTTCTAATTGCCGTCTATTACCTTGTTGCTCCGCCGCCAACAATGGCAGGCTGTGGTGTAAATTTTGAAAAGATGAAAACCAGACGAATAGAAGCCATAAGAGGGCAAATACTTAGCAAGTTAGGCTTCACACAGTTACCTCGCGATGATAAACCACCGGGACAAATTCCGGAGGAAGTGCAGGCAATGTACAATCGCACCCGGGACTTTGTCGAAGAGCAAGCGCGCTTACGGCGGCTGGAATGCGAAGAACATGATGTGGATTATTATGCACAAGAAATTGTCACAGTTTATTCTAACAAAGAAGCGTCAGGTTCGCCAGAAGGTATGTATTTTTTATTTATTGTAATTTTATAAGTCATTGGCGAAGAAGTCAACCCATATAATTCGGTGCTATATCGCCGCTTTCGAATGTCAGCGATAAATCATGAAAGCCTAACATGACCGATCTCTATACGCATCTCGTATAATCATTTGCTATACCTATGTTTACATTCGTTGTCCCCGACGTTCTAACCACCCGGCGTTATGAGGGAAGAGCCTGTAGACATATTGGCTGGAAACATATGTTTGGTAACAACATAAAGGGTGATGGATCTGTCATTCTTGCATTTGGATATCGCGTATTCATAATTTGGCGGCAATAAGGCTCAAAATGAACATATGATTGGAAAAAGGGTTTTTAACGAACTTCAGATTATGTTGAAGGCGTTTGAAGCATGAACCTACTAAAAATATAAACAAACGTAATAACTTGGAAAATTACTTTAGAACAAAATTTGTACTGGGTTGACGCTTTTGCTTTCGACAAATTTATGAAAGCGCCATTATTTATGTTACGTAGTTGTAGAGTTTTTTAGTTTGCATGGTTAAATCTCGAACAACTTCCTGCGCATCTGCCGAAACGCAAATTTACAGCACTAAAATCGTCGTTTTTGCGTTATGTTTATCGAGTTTTAGTGAGTCGAAACGACTATCGAAAACTTCAAAAGTCAATCGATATGGGTCATTGAAAGTTAATGGTGTTGTTTACTGATTTCAGTTTTTACATCAGCTGGATTGTTCCTAGACATTGCCCCACCCACGAACTCACTTGTACAACTGTGACGTCAAATTAGGGTCCTCAAATATATCCCTTTCGAAACTCGTGTGTGGTCGATGGTTGATGTTAGCGAATAAATAAACAGAATTCGATGAAGCAAATAATTGACTTTTGCATTCAAGCGTCTCCGTACAGTAGCCGCAGATAAAAGAAAAAGATCGAATTTGATAGTGATAAATAATCTTCACGTTAACATAATTTGGTCCTCGGATAGTGAAATACTCTACGGAGCGACCAACCTTGTGATTGCTATGGTCTTGTTCATATCCAAATTGTATCTCAAACTTTGATGCTTGGTGGTTAAAGCATATTTCGTAGCGAATAAGATCATGTCCCAACCATCATAATTATGTAAAAGTAAGTTCTCTAGTGAACTTACGCAACACGTGGCACAGTTCTGTTGTGGCGGTGCACTTCTTCTGTATGTATTGCTTTCAAATTATGACGATGATAAACCGCAAGGCGCGATCGCTTTTGTTAAACCAATTCATAATTTACTTTTGTTGTTAAAATATGCCATGACAGATTGATAATGGGCTCGAGTGCGTTTATAAATTATACACTTCATTACTGCAGTACCAAAATTTCATTTAAGACAATATTGCGACCGCGACCACGACCGTCCATCGTGCGATATTGCCATTTAGGTATATGATCGCATCGATTGTGAACCTATACGAACGACAAGGAAATCTGAAGCAAATAATATGCCAATGGTTTTCCATTGTTCAATACGTTTATAAAACTCTTTGTTGGCTGGCTCCGAAACATGCTCCGAGGTATGCCATACTTTGAAAGCAAAATTATTCCCCTCTATTTGTCGAATCGAGTTTAAGCAATTTTACAATATACGATATTATTGGTGCGAGGACAATACTTTTCAGTGGATATAGACAACCGAATACAAAACCATGACAAATTTTACGCTTCCTTGTACTTCTACAAAGTTGTTCTGATTTTTCATCCTTGTAATCTCGTAGAAAAATTGCACGCGGTGTGTTGTTAAATATTTAATGAAAACCAGGTCGCAGTTTCAGGAAGCTTCTGGTACATCAAATTATTCGCCAATCTACGATGTGTAATATGATATTGCAAGTAAATAGAACACCCATAAATTTTCTAAAGCAAACATCACTTGTATGAGCAGACGCGTAAACCAGGAAGCGAGACTCAAGAAAACCGCTTAAGCTCACACGCCCTATTTATGGTGAAAGGTCGCGCCATAAAAAGTTTTTAATACCGATTTGATTCATATCAAGTTGCTCTATAACTCATGTCTAATCATCGCAGAATTTTAATCAACTCAACGATAAAATATATGTCTTCTATCACGTTCTGTTTAAAGTGTACGCTCGTGTAAAAAGGTTTATCGTTTTATAAAATACACAAAAGGGTGTTGGTTTACTATTTGTAAATACACGGTCGAACATGGGAGAGTGCTGAACCGATGTTGCAACATCATTGCATTGAAAGTGATAATATATAAGAAAAACTACTTATTTTACTGGCTCTGCTATCCTATAGTTTATTAGTGAATCATTGTTTACCCTGTACCACTTTTATAATGTTTAATTTGGTTTTGAGGCGTTTGAGTATATTTCATGTTGAAATTTGCCAATAAAAATGGTAGGCTTGCCATTTTCATCATCAAATGTCACTTTGTATCATATGATACCCTTTGATCGCGAGGAACAAAGACCGAATGATGTAATCAGCAAATATGAAATTTGTTTAGTTGTGATTTTACTACACAGTATCGCCCACTCACTTATGCTTTATTAGAAAGCCGATTGAATGTATTTGCTTGGTGGTGTTTTATTATACTATATAACCACAGAACTATATCTATGACAATCCTATTATAGCTAATCAATATATCAAACTATTTCATACATATTTCACATTATATGGTTTTTCATTTGCAGTGGATTTCTACAAAAATCGAAAGCTTTCCAGACAGATTTCAGAATTTTTTGAATTCGATCTTGAACCATTCAAACTTGATACTGAAGCTATCACCAGTGCAACTCTCAGGTTTTATCAAATTCCAAACCCGGTATCAGAAAGTGGAATTACACAACAGGTAAAATTCCATATTACCAAAGAATTTGCACTTCCAGTTTAGGGTATATTGCGAGGTATTAGTGTGTTGATATAACATATGATACATTATTGTTAGTATTAAAATTTCTTTTTACTTTTGATGAAAAAAAAACAACAACAACAAAATAATAGACAAATATAAATTTATAATGATATAAGTCTGATTTCGGTTCAGCTAATGTAAATTAAAAATTATGACATTGAACAGTATCGTTGAGTATCGTTTTCGATGAACGACGTGTACGAAGGGACCTCCTGAAGTATGCGCACCAAGATGGCGCACAACCTGAACTGAAGTTGTACACCAGGTTAGGGTTCAGGTTATGCGACATCTTGGTGCGCATACTTTAGGAGTACCGTACGAAAACATAACACCAAAACCAGAGATATTTAACGTCGACCTTGTAATGTATTTTGTGCAGATCAAAACCAAACTGTAATATTGTCTGTAATAGTACTATAGTCTGTAATATTGGATTGGTTTGTATCACTTCAGGTTGATCTTCACCAATTAACTTTGCCGGGAAAGGAAGGTCACTCACCCGGCAGACATTTCTTGACTATGCGATTGATGGATACGATTGGAAGTGGATGGCAATCGTTTGATGTAACCACTACGATACGTGAATGGGCAAGATATCCACGTAAGTAAAACTTTAATGTGAATTGCAGTTTGTGTATTCATTGCAAATTTATCCAAGTACGAATATGTAATGTACGCGACAAAATTTTTATTAATCAAATCCTACTGATCTTGTAAGCTTGTATGTATTATAAATTGAACTCGTATGTACGATTTCTCTGTGGCAATTTTTCTGTAAAATCGTTGAAGTTATTCAATACATGCGACACCTCTGTGACCTCAGTTAAAGTCATTAATGTTTGGAATATTGGCTCTATGACGTTATTTTACTGACCGTGTCATTGGTATAAGCATCTATCGAATCGGATATCCGATTACGCAACGAATACAAAAATCTATTAAGCTTACCAAGTAAAATAAAAATAGTCCAACGCCTGTCGCCGGATATTTGAAATGTAACTAATGTGTGTTGAGTATACTCGAACTAACTAATCTCCCACAATTCAGTATAACATTTGCTACGACACGGGAAATGGATGTGGCGTATCCAATTCCCATTGTGATCCATTTCCTGTCTTGTATCGTAATATCGCTAGTTAATGACGATTTCCCGCACAGATTATTACTTAAACTCCCTTAAATCCCAGGTGTACTTTGAAGCAGGCCACTTCCCCGTAAATAAACATGGAACGGTGCCTAAAATTACTTAGTAAAATTTACTTTCATTTTCTGCCACATCACCAAAGGTTCGAAAATTTTAGCCATTTGCAACAAAATAAATTACGCTTTCCACGTTATATAATCTTTTTTGTATTATCACTGAGAATTTGTAAACGATTGGTTGCTGATTAAAGTTTATTTTATCTGTCGGGCCGTTCTGGATCTTTGCTTTTCTTTTATAAGAAGGGGCTTTTGATGAAAATTCATTTTAGAGTAAACACCTTCTAATGACGTTCTATGTGACATATATGTGATATATCGTCTCTCCGTCATGATGTTGGTATATAGAGGAAACATTATCGGTGAATATGACGAGGTGTTGGTATTGCGGTGTCAAAGTTCATGTTCAGTTCAAGGTACACTTTGTCAGTGCCATCTTTGAATTACCTACAAAATTTTACCAAGATGCGAGAAACATTTTTTTTTCAAAGTGGAAATTCAACTTAGGGTGGCATATTTTAGGTAGAAAAAATAGCGTTGAAGCTGAATTGTGATCGACGTTTGGAGTATTTATAAAATATCTGAACATATAAGGTTCTTGAAACAAATTAGCTAGATCAAACTTCTCTACATCTCATTAGTTTTCTGTAATTTTGTAATTGTAAGATCGAGCATTAGCGTTGTATCCCCAAAATCCGATTTTGATAAAACATTGAGAAATTTGACTATAAATGTTAATGAGATTTACATTCGTCACTTTTGTTCTGCTTCGTCTAGTCGAGTAGACCACTTCAACCAAAATCACTTAAATTATCTTTTTCGGTCATGAACAATACGTGACGTCTAATCCTTTGTGTTGTCACCTTCCGTCTTATGTTGTCTTTTAAGTGGGGAGCAGGCCAAGTTCTTCTGGCTACATATCCGTTCACACGGACGTTACTTTAACGATCATTGAACTTGTATAGCTAATCTTTTTTATACCCACGGGAGCACTTGCGTTATCACAACGCCACATGAGAGAACTCGACATTATCTAGTTCAAACCTATTGAGAAATTTAATAAAATAGCGGATCTGTTCATCCTGTTCTCATTAGTGTCTTTTTTATACTATAAAAAATGCATGAAATGTACCGTATAATTCACAGTAACTTTATATGACAATATATTATCTTGCCGATAATGATACTTATTAAACGTGAATCAAAATCAACTGTAACCATGCCTTCGAAACAGCTATAATCAACGGGTACTTCCACTTTACTTTTAAAAATTTCGGATATATGTTTTATTGACCATTTCTATATATTACGTGTCTTTCAATTATCATATCGAATAAACACGATACGATTTCTGTGACACGGGCAATCAAAAGAAATCTAATAATGTCACGTGATACAAATTTTAGATATTTGGGGTTTTTGATCATCTTTGATGTCGGGTAGCGAACTTTAAATATCAAGTGATGGCCTTGTCGCTATCCCGTACTTTGATTAACCGCTGAAAATGCGTAATTCGGTATTTGTCAACAAACTGATAACTTGTGATGTAAACCGACTGAGAGGATTTCGAAGTACTTATATTAGGAGTAAAACTTTAAGTTGACATTTATCCTGTCGAATAATTAAATTGCGGCTCATTTTAAAATGACTGATGGGGTAATTTAGTTTTTGAAAAATTAAAATTTTACATTATCCATCGGAATTTTAAGTTCACCCAATTTTATTTTTGATAATAAATAGTACAATATATGCGAAACACTCTTGCAAAATCAAGCGATATAAATTTTGAAATTTGATAGCAATTAGTTCATTTGAATTCTAGAATCCTTGTCCTTAAAATGTAACGATATCCATACCGCAAACATATTTCTAGTCGTTTCATTTTCTAATTAGGACTTCAGAAGATATTCGGAGGTAATTCTTTGATGACTAGTTGAATCAAACATTAAGACTTCCCACGACCAGGTCTCACTCTTCCACCGACCTCTTTTATGTTTTTAGTCATCCGATACCTCGACGACCTTATCGCCCCATGCATACTGTCTGATGTATGACTATATTTAAAAAGGTAGAGTCATGTAAAACCAAGTGTGGTGAAAGTATTAAACGACGTCTCGTCGAATAGTGATATATGCATTAATTTCGATCGGAAAGCTCTGTCAGCAAATGGTCAACGCCTGATAGCCTGAACAAATAGTTTGTAATAACAACAGTCCGAGTGCACAATTAATTGAAAAATGGCGATATGGGAACTTGAGACAGCTTTGGATTTGACCTGGAACGGATTGTCGTCTGTGGGTAGCAGCAGTAGCGATGTGAAAGATCCGTCTCACAGGGCGGGCGTTTTAACAATGTATCAGGGTCTGCGTACAATCTTTATTGCAACAAATTTCAATGCAGTGTTAAATTTAAAAATGCCATGCAATTTATTTCGTATATAAACAGGCAGGCCACTATAAGTACTCGAGTATATCAATTTACATACACCGAGTGAAGCTAATGGTATATCAGCTTCCGTAAATAAAAATGACTACAAGTTATCAATCATCGCAGACGATTTCCCCCTCCCACACACTTAACTTGAAGTTCATCACGGTAATTACATGTTAATTTGATTTAAATAAATGTCTGCAAACTTTTAGGTATGATTGTTGAATGACATCATTGTAGCTCCCAGTAGACCTGCTTGATAGATTTCCTGACTCAGTGGCGTTTGATGTGGCAATGTAATAATGTCATATTGTCTGATACTTATACCTTCGTCAGAGTGTTTTACACAATTTACAATAATAACGAGTGGGCGAGACTCACCCAAGTTTTCTTTTGACTAAAACTATGAAACCAGGTGCTTAATGAACTTATAGCTAAACAGCCTATAGTTATGCTTTCGCATTTCAAATTCGTCTCTTATATGTGTTTAAATATGACCCGATTTAGAACGAACAATGTCAAACGATGAAACATTGTATATTCTTCGAGAGTTCATATGTTTCGACCTGTGTTTCACTTTTTTGAAAACGTTTCCTCTTTTTCAAGTTTGGTTCATATTTAATGGTAATTCTGTCGATGACTTGTTTTTGCTGTCTTGTATCTCGTCGGCAATACTTTGGTCTTGTTCTATTTCGGTCTTGTTTATTGTTATATCGGAGCTTTATGCGTCATATTCGATATCGGCTGCTATATTTGGATTCTGATAAATTGTGGTTAGTTTGCAGCTGATATACCAAGCAAGATTTCAAGTATGATTTTATTTAAAGAACTAGCTAATTTATTGAAATATTTATAATTATTTTATGACTGGAAAATATCCATTTCTCAGCAAAAGAAGGTCCTAAATGAATGATAGGCGCATCATTGGTATATATGTATAAAATCTATTCGGTTAAAATGAGGTTTGGTTGATTGTGACCTATAGTCTCTGCACTGGCTTTTTCATTAATTATTCGTAATTTTCATTCATAACAGATACAAATCTCGGGTTAGAAATGACGGTTCCTTGCCCAGAAGATGACCAAGCATCACAGTCACCCACGAGAAGATCGTCGCCCAGAGGAGTAAGGGAAAAAATGGAAATATTGTTTGCAGGTAAGACTATAGTTTTAAAAGTACTTTATCAATAGAAGTTTATGATCAGTGCACTTAAAAATGGATCGCACCTACCGTTGCCTCTACCTCCTTTCCGCCATGGTCTTACTGCCTCTATTTGCTTCTCATTTTAGGCGATTCCTCATAATGAATCAATGAAAAGTGATTTATATTTTTACAAAAATCAGAAAATCATTCTTTCATGCCCGTATTTGGTTTGACTGAACCTGCTGATCTTTCCCTAGATATTCTTACTGGCCACTGTGGAAAAACTCTTTTTAATTATGTTCAATGAGTAAATTTATATTATTGTCCTTATCTGTACATCAATTTATGAAACAAACCCAAAATTTACAAGCAATTGACGCCGGTTCGGGGCTATTAATTGTGGTGTTCGGTGCCCTTGTTTAGACACGTCTCAAATATAACATTTCTGTTTTTAACATTTGCAGTGATCTTATCAGTAAAATCAAGATGTTTGTAACAATGTAGTAGTGGCAACAGTCGCGTGCGGTTTATCTTGCGTTAAATATATTTATATTAGTCATAATTTCGCGCCAAATAAATAATCGAAAACAAGCTTTTAACGAGGTAATTGATGTCCAATGTTTGTGTAAAAACACCTTTTGAATGAGCATTTGAGGAAATGAAGATTTCGGCGCCAAATTCGAAGTTGATTATTGGCCTTTGGCCGAATGAATTTACTACTATATTTCTTTAAAACAATTGAGACACAAAAAGTCTCTGATTTTGTCATGATTTGATTTTGAGCAAGGACAAAATTTGTCGATGCGACCATCCAGGTCGCGATGTATCACGTTTAAAAGAACCGGCCCAATATGAACCCCTATATTACAATATTATAAGAAACCCGACTCAAATTCTCTCTAGCTTCTCTATTAAATGGGCACAAATTACCATCACTTACCACGCCTGAAGCTTGTATAAATATATTTGAATTAGTCCTTCATCAAGTCCGATACGTACATGATTACATGGCGGCGTTGGTGGCCGCCGCAAACCAATTTAGATGTTTATCAATATCCGTAAACAGAGCGTAGCAATAGAGGCCGATTTTGACAGTTTTGATTACCGTTTGTGGTACTTCGCTGTTTTTGACGCACGAACGATCGTAATTTTGCCGGAACAAAATAATGTAACTCGTATTTATTTTGGACTTCCGCGGGGCTTTTGATTCCATATTTATATTTAATCGTATTTCCAACCGCCCTTTAATTTAGTATTCATGTTGAACAAATAGATAATAACTACATAGTATTTATTTGTTGTGGGTTTATAACATTCAAAGCAGATATATATATCTTCTATCTAAGTCTTGAGTTGACCTTGCAATGTAGTAACAATTTTGATTGCTTAAATACTTGCATTTGTACTTATCACACTAAGATCCATATTTTATTTCTGAATTTGAAAAAAAAATTGATTTAGAAAAGCCGATAACAAAATGAATAATTTTATCCGAAACAGGGTACTAAATATTAAACGGAAGTTATATGAATAACACATCTCATCTGCTGTCATCAACTAAAATTCATTACTATATAATATTTCAGGATCAAACAGGCATATGGCAGCAGGGCGGGGTGACCGAATTACAGATGTTCCCGTTTCGACGACAGCTACAAAGGATTTACAACCGCATCTTGTCGTCATGATGAGATCGCCAGAAGCTCAGCGACATCACACAGGAAAAAGTAAGCGGCGTTCAAAGAGATCTCTTGACGCCGAATACTGCTTTAACAGTAACCCAACCGAGACCAATTGTTGCCTAAGAGAACTGTACATCGATTTCCGGAAAGATTTGAAATGGAAGTGGGTGCACGCTCCGTCCGGATACAAGGCTAATTTTTGTGCTGGTGCCTGCCCTTACTTATGGAGCATGGACAGCCAACACGCAACAATACTAAGTTTGTATAAAAGCATGAATCCCAAAGCATCTTCATCGCCCTGTTGTGTTCCCAAAGAACTTAACCCGTTAACAATCATGTTCTACAACAAGGGTAGGTTTCAGGTGAGGCGACTAAGCGACATGGTCTTGATGTCGTGTAAATGCAGTTAAAGCAGGAATAAGCTACTGTGTCTTTAAGGATTTTACTGTGTATGTGCGCGGCTTCGTTTACTCATCAGTCGAACACAGTGGGTTAATTTGGACTTTTGAAAGCGGAAATGGTGCTTCCCCATACATTGCAATGACTTGTTTGATTCTGGTAAACGTTGGTTTTAACGACTGATAGCGTTAAAATGAATGTAATTTGAATTCACGGATACTTTTAATAAGTGCCAAATAAATTGCTTCACATTTATTTTATTAGAGGAACTACCTCTGTTAAAACATATTCTGCTAGCAATACTATCGCCTCAAATTTGATATAACCATTTTATACTCATAAATTCTTATCCAAGGGATAACTTATCAAAGTTCTTATATTTATCAATAATTAGGACGCTCAGTTTTTTAATTTCCAGACCTTGTAAATTGCAAGAAAATTAAAGTGCGACATATTCATTGCATTTGAGGCCACTGATATTGTAAACTAATCATAGTGTCCTTATTGATCTGAAAATCATTGTTGGGAATTTTGTTTTCTCGTATGCATCCAAGTCAACAGGTATTTCATCTCTGAGGGGTCTTGCCGCGCAAATTTCTCTGATAATTAGGATATATACTTTTGTTATGGGATTTAGTTTCTTATCAGTTCATTGCCACACTCTTTGCTCTCGTCCTGGCGAACTACTTTTTTATTATTATTACTTTAGTTTGAACGTTTTTTTTGCTTCTTTATTTATAGAAATGCTTCAGCTCTGTATCCTTTTTACCAGCAACAATAATTATTATTATATATAGAGTCGCGTCACCAGAATAAGCAGCTGTGCATATATCTGGACAAAGAGAATTCGTTTTGTATTTATGTATAGTATTTGCTAAAACTGTGCTATTGTTCGATCGGAAAATTCCTTTATATTTCGCAGACCTATAATTTGAGTATTACATTTGTTACCACAAAAGACCATATAGCGTCATTCAATGCCTCCTGTATCTTATCAAATTTGGAAAAGGTTTCGTGTGACTTATCGCTATTAGCATACTATGTTAGGTTTGAATAGGACATATCAATGGTAAATTTCACACCACGAAGCGATGAAATTTTCTTTTGCAATATGGTTACTTGCGCTATTTGCTCCATATGCAATGGAGTTAACGCCTGTGTACTTCGCAATATATGAATTTCGGATAATGAAATTTGTACTCAATTTATATGTACAACATCTCTCAAAATGACCAGTTATCTCGATAAGAAAGTGTGGCTGACAATTATCAAATTGTTAGGACTAGACGTGGCAAATATTGTACTGACTTCCTACGTTAAATGTGGAATCAACTTTTGTGTGATATATGCCAGACATGTTCAGCATATGTATGAAAGTGAAAAATATTCTGTTATTCGAAGGCAACACCATAACTGAGGGAAATGCAAAACTGAATACCCTCAATTGCTCTATTACTTCCTGTCAAACTCGATTAAACCTGCAGGCCTATGGCAAACTTCTACCGCTATATTGCATAAATAGTATTGATACCCAAAATAAACTTCAAGCTATCCTCATCGCAAAGATTTTGCGTCGAATGGTCATCTTTCTTCTTTGTTTAATTTGGGATCGATTATATATTGATTAATTGAATTTGGCCAAACTGAGATGGCACCAAGGATATCCACTGAGCATGAGCATACATTTGTTACTGCTAATGCAGCGACAAATAATGTTCTAAGGGAGTTCGACAGTTAGGTATTATTAGTTTGAAAAATAGTCAACTGTTTGTCATTTGTATTAAAACATCCATCCATAGTTTTGGTGATGGGTTCTTCTGTCTTTTTCCATATTTACGTCAACCCTTTTTTCAGCGCGGTTTACTAGTATGTTATATTCGGAGTGAGTAGGTTTTCTAGAATGGATTAATGAGTTTGCTGACGAGCACACCGTTTGTACCGATATGCGTAACAACTCTTGGGTCGTTTGATCGATAAATCTTTTTAAAACGCCATATTTTTTATTTGATTATTTATTTCTTGTTATTTAATCTCAAATGATACGTACATATCTAGGAATGAATATTGTACTTGGGGACTCGGGTCGAATTTGGGCTCGAATTGATAACATTAGCTGGATGCAAACGGCGTCCAAAAAGCAACGTGTATGTTATTATATATATAGTTTACATAAAGAAACTCGTGCTAATGAAGATCAATTTGTTATATTTGACTGGTCGATTCGATTTACTTTTGTACTAATTTTTGTCTGATTTTAAATCCTGGCTTCAAATTCAGGTCTAAAGTAATTTGCTCGTCAGTATAGATTATTTTATAATAAATCTTTTTCTGTTATTTCGTTGTAATGTATATTGCTATTATGAAACCAGTCAATTGATAACAAACTGAAAATCTTGCTCGAAAATGTTTTCTCGTTGTATACTTGACTACGTCGATGAGAATTTCCTCTCTGTTTTTAATGAGTATCCAATTTAATATATACACAGATAATGTTCTGCGAAACTCGAAGATACATGCAAATAGTTTGCTTGATCTCTATGACTAAAGATTGAAAAGTTTTTTTGGGGTGAATTGGCGATTTATTCTCTGTACCATTTCTCTGGAATTTTGGGTCTTATAACTTCCTGACCTATCTGGCATCAATACTGTATATCAAGAGGGCTATGTGAATACTTTATACCTATTTTTGTATTATTTATTTGTTTATATATATGTTTGCTGAGTGTGAACTTACTATGTCTTGTTCTCATTTTTACTATTGTATTATCAGGAACGGACTCAATATCTGGAGCTCGAATGTTAGTTTGTTATTTTAATTATTTTTATTCGCATCCAGTCTCGATAATATTATTAAAATTTCATTTTGCAATCAAGATTGTGTTAGTTAGTTATGGCGAGAAGAAAAGTTTAGAAACTTGTTTTGGTCAATATTTGAAGGGGAAATTCTCCAGTTCTGTTGGCGTTGCTCAATTGCAAAATATTTTTCCTCGTCGTCCGGTTTGATGTTGTCATCTGATCGTGAGTAATTCGATTACATAATAAATTTAGGCATTATGTATTGTTTTGTAATCATGGTCAGAAATTTACGAAACGGGAAAATAAAAATGTCGTAGCTACGCGTCACAGGCGTGAAGCCTTTTCAAACAATTTCGTTCGAATGTTTCCGGCTCATGACGTCAACTCGGATGCTAAAAGGCACAAAAACATGCTTTGGAAGCAATCGTTTGTGACAATTGAACGCAATAATTCAGCGGCATCGCCACGTATATGCGTTGTTTGCAAAATATCGTTTGATATCTGTATAAATCAGTGAATTTTATCCGGGAATGTGCGTCATGGAAAAAATTGAATGTCTTTTGCAGCAGTACGCTTATTGTTCCCTGCAAAAACGGTAGTTATTTTTCATTGGAACAATGGAAAAGAATAAAAATTCACAACGCTGACGAAACAAAGGCGCCAGGTGTTATCATTCCGATGTAGTTAGTTTACATGCTGCTGATCTCTATGTTCGAAACTTCTGTGAAATCTATATCAAATTAGGAAATATGAATTAACTAGAACTTGGAATTCAAAAACAGAGTACAAAACGATTATCAAACAATGGGAAAATAGCTCCATTTCTTGAAGTCCAGGTCCATGTATCTGGAACACTGAACTCGTAAACAAACTATTGCCATACCCGATTTCTGAATAAGGTTTCCAAGTTTCACATTCTTGCATTAGGTTGACAATTACATCTTGTGAATATTCGTATATAATTTTTCATTTGCAGTATCGCTCGTGAGCGGAAACGGCAGCGATGTTTAAGCCTTTAGTCCTTGTCTGATAAGAGTACCCTCAACATGCCCTTCATATCGCATATTAGTATTGTTTTCAATTTCGACTACTTGCTAGCCATAACTGTCTGGCTGTTGGGCTGGGAATAATATTTAGGTTATAGTGGGGCACTAGTATATACAAAGATAGTCTCCTAGAAATTCAGCTGTATTTATCTGCGCTGCTTCAGAGCATTCCCCATTGAGGGAATAGCTCTCTAGTAGGCTACCGCGAAAGAGTACATTAACCTATAAGTTATTGTAGGAACCAACCAATCCAGTTTAAGTACGTCGAACGTCTAAGTATCTCCCCGCCACTACACTACCAGTCCACATTGCATCTTTATGAAGTCATCACCGGCAGAATGTCGCTATAGGAACAATATATCAACGTACTTTCCTGTTATTGGCTAATTAGTACGATGCCAATCGTGACGTAACAAGTCAATTTTAACAGTGCAGATTTTTTTTCCCAACCAGAGAATTTCACATAGTGATAAACATAAAATCGCTTCCCAGGTTTTGCTACGCATTTGAAAAACGTTTATAGATGTGTTTCCGAAATTTGGATATACAGTATGAACAGTTGGAAAAACAGTAAAAGATTGGAGAAATTACCCATTGACATAAAAAGACAAACCTTCTAGTCTAGTAACCATTGGTCTATAACAGACATAGTTAGCGTTTCCTCCGAGCATCGGCTGGAATGTTAATTTCAAGTTTTGATAATAAGATCATTGACTATGCAGGCCTCCTTTAACAACCGATAGGAACACTTCGTAAACTTTCTGAGGAAAAATTCGGATTATTTTTTCACAATTGAAGAAGTTGTGTAAGCATTCAAAACTTAATGGACACATTAGTGGACATAACGATCGTTTCAGTATTATGTTGTTGTTCTTGTTATTCGTCATCATTAGAGAGAGAGAGAAAGAGATTATTACTTTGTCAACCAAAAAAGAAAGGGTACAATAATATATATACAAAATATGCAAGTCAATTCGGTACAGACTGGAGGGAGCGATATGACCATAAGGTCATCAAAATCAGCTCTTCCCAAATTCAATCTTAAGATTTACAATTAAGGTATATAAATCATGTATCATCTGATCTGATTGACACACAAAACATTCAGTTTTGATATATATGTTGATAATAAGACACAAATTCAAAGAGTTTGGTCGTTGATTCTTGCGAAAGAAAAGTATATACAGTATACGCGAATTGTTGAATTCGGGCGTTGAAGCTTGAAAAATAAAAATACACGAGCGTGAACTCGGAATTTAAACTTGAAGTTGGGTTCTGGTCCAGATATATATTTTTGTGTCAAATATCTGTTAACTCACATAGCCTACCGCACGAGACTGAGGATTGATTGTTTGCTTTATTCCTTAAATGTTGATGTGTTTTTCATTGACTTGGTTACTGATAAATTGCTTTTATTGACAGAAGCAGACAAACTACACCGGAATGTCGAGTGCCATATCAAAATGGAAGCTCCCGACATAAATCCCATCTTAATCTTCAAGCGTTTTCGTCTCATTTTCCAAGTTGCCCAATATGAGAACAAATATTCCAGAACATAAGAAATTGCTGTTTGTGATCCAGATGTATTTATTGATACAGATGCATTGTACACCGACGCTCTGAATCGTAGCTAATAACAGCTGACCCATTCAATTCGATACAAAAACACGGCGAATTTTCCTAGGGACATCCCGCTATACGCGGAACAGTCCCACGACAATATTCTCAATGCCCCCTATTAACGATATCCCGGGTACGGACAGCGCCACAGCTCTTCCGCTGCTCCATCGGTTCTCTTCGAATACTGGACCAATTGCTTTGAGATTTATTGATTTTTGATCACTATTGATGTTTTTGTCAGAAAGCTATTGCTTTTATTTATTTTTAAATTTTGTGTGAAATCTGATATTTTGTCCAAAATTTCGCTGTATTATTTTATTCACGGGAACACTGGCTGGCGTCAAAGGTAAGGGCTGCTTCGCTATGTTTAACGTGTCCATATATTTGAGCATTGCTCTCTTGTTGTTTTGAATTCTCACGCTCAGTGGTGTTTTAGGTTGATATGGCGCTGTATATCATGTTTCAAAACAGGTACTGCAATATTTTATTTAATGACATCAATAAATATGCTACATAAAATATTAGAGTCGTTGGTTTGGTGTCGCTGTTTTGATTTTGATTTTTTTCACCACACGTTCGCCCTCTAGTGATGAATTGCCAATGTTCTAATGGCTGTAGCGACTTTGTAGGCCGAAGAGGGAAATACAAAACAAGGCTTTATATCAGCGTTAACATAAGGCGCTGGCGGAAATTTCTCGCTTCTGAAATCTGTAATATTCAAGTCACACGTACCGGTAGCCACTTTCAGAAAATTTCAGTGTTATTAGTGGTGTTATATTTTTGAGCCGTTTGCTGGTTTTGTTCACCAACTCGACAATCTTCAGAAAACGGAACGATCTGCATCATGAGTTTAAGAGGTCAGTCTGGAAAACAACAAAAAGCGGATGAAAAAGTTCACGTTGCTATAAGATGTCGGTAAGAATTATTACGGTACTATGTAGCCGTAGAATATGTACTAATGTAGTACTATGTACTAATCTAATTCATCTTTGTATTAAAAAATTTAAATATGTCAAAATGCTGGAATGATACGGTAGAATATGAAAACTGAAACAAAATAAAAGACCTACCTTACAGACTGGTACCTGTACCGTAATCAGATAGTCGACCGTTATCTGCGACTGCGGTGCCGTACCATACTGTTACTGTGTTACCGTAACTTTGTAACTTGCCCTGAAGCCCTACTAATCAGACTAATACAGTAGGGTGGTGCAGCCAGTTTGCGGACGATTTCATTCAAACCGCTATAAAATAAAAACCAATATTTCTAACCCGGTAAGTTTTTCACTGTATGTTCATTGGCATTTATTCTACACGCTACAACTCGAATTAACTCTCTACGACCAGGGGTTAAAGCTATACAAACCACCAAAGTACGACACTCAGAAGACGTATTTGCGACCGAACGACCAGCGTGCGACCACGGATTTCGAGCCTTAAACATCGTTTCGGCTGCGTCGAGACTACCACATATGCAGTCATGCGTGGAAAAACTGGACTTTTAATTGCATTTTTGATCGTCATATATTTTAACAACACGGTTATTTCGACAACCCACATGTTTTTGAATATACGTGCCGCGATTTAGCCTTCAATAGTGGCATCAAAACAATAAAATAGCATAACCCTTAACCGTCCTTGAAACAATCAAATTTTACTAAATGACTTTGTTGCTTTCGACGCAAACAGCAATTTTTACCTGATATTTTCAACAAAATTGCCATTGTGTTCACTTCTCATCAAAAGTTATATGTGATATTTTCAAGTTTCTGCCTTATATGTTAGAAACATTACCCTTTTGCGTATTTCGTACATCACTGGCAATTTTTAAAGACTATGTTTTGATTTAAACTATGACCATATTTTTGTGTACTGGTAGATAAAATGTTGCTTAGAGAATATAAGACACACAATCAATTCCAACAAGAATTTTTTATTACTCACATAGTCGCAGTAAAATATTCTATATGGCAGAAATACATTTGCAGCAAAACTAACGAAGTCCCTCTACTGCTGATGCGCTTAAATGCGGATTCAGCTCTGTGCAGTGCAGATGGAACCACTTATCGCACTGATCGCACGCAATCCAGCGTGGTTCATCAGGCCCACCATTGAACTGCACCTTACATACATTGCAATCTTCCTTCTTTTTTTCTTTTTGTTTTATAGACAAATTTCGTCTCCTTTTCAGAGGTTTGACCTTTTCTAAACTCATATTTTTCTGTTTTTCTAATCTTTTAATTTTGCTTATCTCTTTTCTGTCTGCCCTTTTCCTTTTTTGTTCCTCAGCTAGCCTTTTTTTCTCGATTGAATCTTTCAACTCCGTTACAGCTCGATCAGATGACAAATTATATAGTGGCATATTTTTGTAATTTTTCACGGGCCTTTTCTTTTCTGGTATTTTAAACAACTCTTTTCTAGCCAAATTTGTCGAATCCGTATTAACACAAAAACTTCTTATTTCTCTTTTTCTATTTTCTAGTTCTTTCAAAGTCTCCAACTTCAGGTGTCTCCATGCGATATATACCCCACTGCCTTCTATGTCTCCACACTCTAACTTCTTTTCAAACAGTGTCTTTTCATCTCTATTCATACCCCTTTCCAACGCCTCTAAAGCTCTCCTGCACTTAGAATCAATTGGTGACAGACTCTCGTACATTTTGGAAGCCGGGGATGCTAAAGCACTTGTAATTTGATCATTTAGATTTAGCTCAACAACATCTGATGTATTACAACCAGGATCGGGTGATCGAGATGTAGATGGCTGGTCATCCAATATATCAGACATATTCAAAGTGATAAGTGCGTCTTCAGGCTGTTCGTCGTCAAATAAAACTATATCCAAGTACGACACATCATGATCTAGTTCATTCGACGCCAACATGCTTTTAGTCGGGAATTCTATATTTCCACCTTCAATGAACTTTGGGTCAGCAAGTGACATTGGGGCCATGTCGAGATTATCGAAGACAGGTTCTACGTCAGTAATCGCAGAGCCATTCGCTTCCCATATCTGTTGTTGAGAATTAGCGTGGGCCGAGGGCTTTGGGGATTTTGACATTGATGGTTCATCGTCAACAAATATGGTGGACGGTAATGCTTTTTCCAAATCCACAGCTCCAATATTTGGAGGCCAGACGCCACATGATTTGAATGAATTTACTATCACATCCAAGCGTGAGGTTCGTAAGTACGCCTGGGTAAAAACTCGACCAAACGTGTACTTATCAACCACACACTGCTCTTTTCCAAAAAAAGAATCACAACAGCGACTCCAATTTCCTTTGAAAGGGCCATAAAATCCTTTGTCCAGTGGCTGCAGAATATGTGTAGTGTGGGCAGGCAAACAGTAGAGAATGATATTATTTTCTCGGGCTAACGTGCTTGTGCGAAAATCTTTGTGGGACGTGTGACCATCAAGAAGAAGTACGACGGCCCCCCTTGTTGACTTGTTAGGTAAATTAGGTATGAATAGTTGTTCCATCCAGTCATAGAATGAATCTTTAGTCATCCAGCCCTTATCAGTCACATGACATCTGCTGCCATCGGGAAAATCCAGTGCATGAGACGGATTCATACGCTTGCCGGGGAAAAGTATGTAGGGCGGAAGGATGTTACCGCTGGCGCTGATGCAAATCAGCACCGTGATTTGAGTTTTATTGCTGCTGGTGATGTTATAGCAGGTTTTCATCCCTCTGCCAGCCACGACTTTTTTACCGGCTTTCGTTTGAAAAGAAAATCCGGTTTCGTCGCAGTTGTATATACTACTTCCGTTCGTGATGTTGTTTTCCTCTAACATTGCCGTGTACTTTTCCATCCAACTGCTCACCTTTTTTTCCGAACAAGCCATGGCTCGCGCCACCTCCAATTTTACCGTTGTCATGGTTTTCAGGTCCGGGTTCCGCGACAAGAATCCGCACCACCAGGAGTCACTTGGGAGATTATTCCTGAAATACCGCACACGCTTTCCCGACAAATCTAGCATGTTTTTTACCGTTTGAAGCACCTGAAAAAAGGTAATTATTTGAAAAAATGCTATCACTCAGATTTGGTGTAGATTAGGATATGTCTCACGTCTCTCTTGCCCATCCCGAGTCCACGCTTGGCCATGTCCTTCAAAAATGTTTTCAGCGACTCTTCCTCTTCGGATGATAAAGCAGTGGGGGGCCCACGTTTAGGCATTACATCCAATGACCTTTTTCCTTGAAAATGTAAGATATGACGCCGTTACTATGATAAATTGGAATGATTTGTAATATAAAAAATATACATACCTGTTATACGATCGGTCAAAGTAGATTTGGGGATTTCGTAACGCTCTGCTGCTTCGCGATGAGACATTTTTTTTTCAGTAATGGCTTTTAAAGCTTCTTTCAAATTTTCCTTCGTGTACCTCATTTTACGTTTTGTAATGTGTCCAGGCATTTTTTTAATTTAATATATCTGTACGGAAGAAAAACTAACGAAGTTCATAAAATTTCATTTTTTTTTTCATTTCGGCCAACAGGATGGATGTTTCCGTGACCCTTGACCCCATAAAAATTCTCTTCAATTTTTGGAAGCACTACTAAAAACTGACAAATAAAAATCTCTCTCTTTGAATAGCACGCATAACTACGAAAGCGAGGCAATGTTTACAACCATGCATGTATATCTGCCTGGCCCGCTGCACTAATTCAGTCATACTCACCTCGTGTCAATTTATCAATAAATGTTGCTTAGGCCAGGAATATTCTGACAATTAAACTTCTACGCGTTGAAGTTAAAGGACGAACTGTTAACTCAACCTTTTAGAACATAACCCGTCAAATTACAAACGAAACACCGCATGGCAGCAGTCAAACAAACAAAAACATGGTGGTCGCAAATTGGCTGCCGAATATATTATCGACTTATTGGGAATGCGCACCCCCCCATTCCCCCCCCTTTTGATGTAGAAACGTGGAATTTTGAAGATGGTTAAATAAACCACAACTCCACTCACCAGCCAATTTTCATGTTTTTATCTATCATATTTCTATAGATTTTCAAGCTATTCCAAAGGGACGATGGGTAGTTGGCAACATGAAAAATTAGTCCGTTTTTTTTCTTCGGTCGGTTTTTCGATCGTAACTTTTTTGTTTGTGGCCGCATTTTAGTGTAATTTCGCAGAGCTACGAGGGATAAGTGGGCGATAGTGTGTGAGAAATATCGTCGCGGTCCGTTAATTTTTTCGGCATTAATTAAATCGATGAAGTTGATGACCGCAAATAGGTCGTGTCCGCAAAGTGGGTAAGGCACCCTACCGGTACTGCACACTATCTAAATTCCAAGAATTTCCCTCCATTTGGCTCAATAAAACAAACACTCCATGTGTCTCACAAACGAGGAGCGTCTGGGACCACAACAGATGCTTCATATCACGCCATGCTTGTCTCAATAATAATCTGAATTAATTAATCGCGGCCGTCACATGACCAAAATTGCTGTTTTTTGCTAAAAACTCAAATGCTACGGTAAAATTTTTTTTCCTTCGATAGATCGGATTATTTTTTCCCAAGGAATTCAATGATTACGTTACTAGATTGCGTTTTTTTGTAGTATTCTGCGCAACTTCATTATACTGTATTATTACCGATATTGAGGGACAACAATGTCCAGACGTCTCCCGAAGGAGGGGTATCTGATCATCTGTAAAATGGGTTTCTCAGAAATGGGACAATGTCACCCGATTTGTATAGTGTGCCGTACTCTGTAATATACTTGTCCAGATTTTGTGGCAAGCGAGGTGATCAAACTTACATCATCTCATCAGTCTTATCCACAATTAAATCATTGAAGTTAATGACCACATGTTCGATAAATCACGATGTCGGAATGTGGGTGCAACACCCCAAATTATAGATTTTTTCTTTCTATTGAATACAACTGTATAAAATGACAGGCTGACGGCTAACTCGCCATGAGGGCTAACTCGCCATGCGACGGCGGTTAACGGGTTAGCCTGCAACTGTGCGAAGGCTCTTCTTGTAATGGGAGATAGAAAGGTGGCTGTTTATACTAACAACTTCAATAGTAAGGATAAATATATTAAATTAAATGTGTTTGGTTACAATACCTACTGTGCAAATGGTAACAAAGTGACAAGAAAACGTGCTTATATGTCGGAAGGCATACCGGTACCACACGGTACTCGACGCGCAAAGGATGTCTCAACTTATCATTTTCATCTAAGCATGCTAAATATATCATCATATTAATTGATTGTATGAGCACTGAATCAACAACGACGCTAAATATATCAAAAGTTCTATTTTGCTACCGGCAGTCTCATTTTATTCTAACAGCCGTTGATTGCGAGCAGAGAGGGAGAGAGAGGGCTAACTCGCCATGTCTTTATTCTTTATAATTGACGATCGACATCGCGAGTTCGAGAGAGAGGGCTAACTCGCCATGTCTTTATTCTTTATAATTGACGATCGACATCGCGCGAGAGAGAGAGGGCTAACTCGCCATGTCTTTATTCTTTATAATTGACGATCGACATCGCGAGAGAGAGAGAGGGCTAACTCGCCATGTCTTTATTCTTTATAATTGACGATCGACATCGCGAGTTGGAGAGAGAGAGAGGGCTAACTCGCCATGTCTTTATTCTTTATAATTGACGATCGACATCACGAGTTCAAGAGAGAGGGATAACTCGCCATGTCTTTATTCTTTATAAATGACGATCGACATCGCGAGAGAGAGAGGGCTAACTCGCCATGTCTATTTTCTATATAATTGTCGATTGCCCTGATGCCGACTGATATTAGTGTTAAGCCAACTCACCACGACAAGGTTTCAGCCTTCGAGTCAGAATTTCTTTTTAGAAGAAACCCAAGCACAGATAGGCATCATAGCTGTACATGAAAAAAAAACTGAGGAAGGGGAAAAATACTTACACTAGGTTACTTACTCTTTACAAAAGGCCGGGCCGTAGATTTTTGAACATCTTCGAAGGAGAGCCTCCGCAGATAATCCTCCGTCCTTGAAAACACTCCAAACTTCCTTCAGCTTGTCATTTGCCTCGCTGTATTTTGCGTCAGCCCTTCTTGGTATATTTTCCTCCATTACTTCTACTACATCTGATTCCACCGCAATGCTGACCTCGTGAATCTTGGATATAAGGCTATAAAAAGGCATATTTGTCCGTGCTATGCTATTGAAGTACCGATGCCACCCTTCCAAATGGTTGTTAGTCCTAACGTCGACGTCGAATACTGACCAGTCTTTTGGTTTCCAAACTGAGTTCTTCAGCCATGTCCTGTCGAAATATTCGGCAAATCTATTCAACCCGTCTGTGGTCATTTTGCCTCGCAGAGATAGGAACAGCGGCGGGGCCGTTCGTTTGGTCTAGGTTCGTGGGTATGATCCAAACCATTTCTACTAAAATCATCTTCTGTTTGGTATACCTTGGCCGGGCATATATTTCCTTTCCTCCGCACCGAACACCGCCAGGTAACTGTAGATAGAAAAGATTAATTAGAAACATTGCAATTGTTTGTTGTAGTAATATGAGTTTCACTATAACTCACCACTTCCATTGATATTAGTGCGAAGAACCGTATAGGAGTAACCGTGCCTCTCATACAGCTTGAGATGTTTTCTTTGACTCAGGTCCCCTTCCACTACGAAGGTCGTCTCGGCAATTTCGCTGGATATGTCCCTGGGAACAGAAGCCTCTATGGATGACTCCACCACCCCTGAACATCCGACGGGAAATGTAAAAATTTCCTCTGTCTGTAAAAAAGAGCAACAAGTTAGACATATAGGCTAGGTGCGAAACACTAGGGATCTAAATGAGTAATGAGAGAGGATATTTACCATAGGTATTGGGCTAATCTCAGAGCATTCAGAGTCGGAGTAATCAACGAGTCGTGGAATGTTCGTCGGCGGGGCCAGATATATCGTGGAATCATTCCGCTGTTGTTGTTGATGATCTTCCGCCTGCAAAGATCATTATAACTTTTTGACTTTTATACTTATATATAAAATAGATATATACTATATCTTCTATACTTACCTTTGTGTAGCAGTCTAGGCATTTCCAGTCAAAAGTGACGTCTCGACTTTTCAGTAATCTGTATTGCGGCCTGGACATTCCTACTGTAGTTCCATTGAAACATTTTCGGTGAAACTTACTACTATCCTTACTATTGAAGTTGTTAGTATAAACAGCCACCTTTCCATCTCCCATTACAAGAAGAGCCTCCGCACAGTTGCAGGCTAACCCGTTAACCGCCGTCGCATGGCGAGTGGTCCATGGCGAGTTAGCCCTCATGGCGAGTTAGCCTCCACCCAAATGACATACCGTCAGACCATAGTTAATTTATTGTCAGAATGTGTGTGAATACTGGAATAACAAAATTCTGTCATCAATCAGTCGGAGTAATTTGTAATTATATATTCAGTCCTTTAAATGAAAATGAAAAAAGAGGACGAATTAAAAGTGTTGTGGAAACAAATATAAGAGATAAAGAAGTTCGAGTATGCTGCAACAACAATTTGGATAAGACTTACAAATTTGACAAGGTAAAAATAATAAAGTTTCACTAAATTGATAAGGCTTGAGTTTAATATAAGTTATGAGAAAATTAATCTAATGTAGAAAATCTTACAGATTGAATAAACATTACAGAATTTTATATTTCTGTTGACACAAAAACAACCTATGTGACTTTTAATGTTGCAATGCTATGCATATATTCCACAACATAATATTGGTACTGTAATATTATAATGATTTATTTTTATTTTAGACATTTGGGCCTTCAAGTAAGCAGGTTGACATCTATCGTAGTGTTGTTGAACCTCATATTGATGAAGTTCTTGCAGGATATAACTGCACTGTTTTAGCGTGAGTATTTAAGAATAGCCTATGTATGTTGGATTTTTCATTCAATGAAAATGTATGTATGAATTTTTCCATTCAAAGGTTATGGTTCCAATAGGTGAATTATGTGAGATTACATTATATGAGATTTTGCTTTGTTTCTGCATATTTTCTTCGATTAACTGGCAACTGATCAACTGCACAACTATATATGTGTGGGGTGATCAAAAAAACGGTACCCAGTCCATTTGAAACATATTGTATGGGTTCCGTTTTTTTGGTTCACCCTGTATTTTACATTGTGGTTTACTTTTTGAAAACTTTCGTGATCCACGATTTTTGTGAGGTAATACCACAGTCTAAAATATTTTCTCTTTTATTATCAAGTTATGGCCAAACTGGCACAGGAAAAACTTTTACGATGGAAGGAGAGCGATCTGGAGATCTTGATTATACGTGGGAGAATGATCCATTGGCTGGTATCATACCAAGGACCTTGAGTCAATTGTTTGACAGACTAGAAAAGGTATCTTCTATTTTTATATCAGTAGTATTCACTTTCTTTTATAATAAAGTGCTTTTGATGGATTTTCATGTCATTTCGGGCTCAAATAATTTTTCTCCTCACAATTTCAATTTACAAAACATGTATAGACAGAACTGTTTCCTTCTGACTAGCTACTAAAGTATATTCTATCAAATCTGTTACATTTTTAATTGTCCTTATTATTTAGCATACGATTCAGCATTAAAATTTTTATTATTGTTCCAAAATACCATAAAACTAAATTCGTTAAGTAATGAGATGCCCAACATCTAAAATGATATATTTCTTGGGGTGTAATATTGTATTCAAGGTGTATTGTAGAAATTAACAGTACAACAAAAAGACATTCAATTTCTTTCCTGCATTTTTAAAACAAACTCATCGAATATATATATATATATATGTGTTCTTTGTTGAGTGTCACCCGATTTAGAATATATTCCATATTCAAAAATGTCATTTTGGAATGAAGTAATGCATTGTTCAGTGTTGGCCATCTCTGATTACACTCACATTTTGTAAATTTCTTCTCTATTTTGTACAGGAAAGTGCGGAATTCAGTATTCATGTATCATTGTTGGAAATTTATAACGAATTAATTTATGATTTGCTTTCACCGACTGATGATCCTGTGTTGAGAAGAATTTATGATGACAGCAATAGAAAGGTGAGATGAATGGAATGGCAGCGTCAGCTCCCAATTTAGTGTTTAACATTCTTACTTTTTTTCAGATTATAACAGAAGTTTGATTTTATTAATTTCGTATCAGAATCAGATTACAGGAGTGCTTTTTATTTAAGATTTTTATGACTTATTGCGCAGTTGCAAGTAAATTGTGTTTCTGATATATTATAAACAAACAAAAATTCCATATATGAAAATATAATAATATGGTTGATCGAACTAATTAAACTTTGAATGACTTAATATAATGATTAAATTTATCACAATTTCAGAAAAATTTAAAAATACCTACAGTGATATGTGAATGATATATGACAGTTTTCCTAAACTGAGTTTCTAAAAGTCTAAATATTTTGTACTGGCATAGCTGTGTATAGTTCAGAACATACCGCATAATCGCCATACTTTTGTCAGGGATCAGTAATAATCGCTGATCAGACTGAGATCAGAGTGTTGAGCAAGTCAGATGTTTATGATATTCTGGTTCGTGGAGCGACAAAGAGAAGAACTCATGCTACTGAAATGAATGAATTCTCCAGCAGATCTCACAGTGTTTTCACCATCACGGTACACTTAAAGGAGTTAACAAAGAATGTTGGAGAAGAAATGGTCAAGATTGGAAAACTTAACTTGGTGAGTTGATATTTTTTACTTTTTTTTCATTTAGTTTTTGTCACTGCATGTGATAATTAGTATTGCCTACTGGCTACTGCTATATTTTTTTACAAGTACAACGCTTATTCATTCCTTCATTATTCACTCCTTGTTCCAAACAAGGCAATGTACAAGCAGCCATTGGGTATCTAAAAATCTTCTTTATAATATTTCTTACAGGTTGATTTGGCTGGAAGTGAAAATATTGGAAGATCTGGTGCAGTTGATATGAGAGCAAGAGAAGCTGGAAATATTAATCAGAGTTTGTTAACTCTCGGTAGATGTATCACAGCTCTAGTGGATCATGCTCCTCACGTTCCATATAGGTATGTATTTTTATTTTAAGTTATTTTTTAATGGAGAAGAGGCACAATGGAGTGGAATGGAGAGCAAACAATCTCTTCTCTTTTTCTACCACAAAAACCTCTTTTGAATGTTAATACTTATGTTATCAACTCTTTATTTTTGTGTGTTTACTTGGACTCAATGATTGCGATTTTTCGCTGAATTTCCTGGTTTTTAAAAAAAATTGGGTAAAATTTCTTGGTAAAATGTGTGCTAATTTTTAGAATATTCAAATTTCCGGATTTGAAGGATTTAGATTGGAACTCACCAACCTGGAGTTTTAGCCAAACATTTGTCCAATTCGGAATAATTTGTAAATCTGTAACGATTTCAATTTTATTCAGTTAAGAGAAATAACATGGAACTAACAATTTTCATTCATATATCAGGGAAAGCAGACTGACTAGGATTTTGCAAGATTCACTCGGTGGAGCCACAAAAACATCCATTATTGCAACGATAGCTCCTGGTTTGGACAATCTAGAAGAAACATTGAGTACATTGGATTATGCTTCTCGTGCCAAAAATATTCAAAACAAACCGAAAGTAAATCAGAGAATGATAAAGAAGACTTTGATAAAGGTACCTGTTATAAATATTCGAATGTTCAAAGAAATATTCATTGACAGTCAAAGTACACTCTATCTTGTGTATTTTTATCCCTAAACTGTCGTGTTGAAAAGTGATATTGTTTTTAGCAATATGACAATGAAATCGAGAGACTTCGTCGTGAACTTGTGGCAACAAGAGAGAAGAATGGTGTATGCATGGACAAGAAACAATACGAGTAACTTGCTTTGTAATTTGTCTTTATCGATAAGGATTATATATTATTTACTGAAAAACCGCAGTAACTACTTTACTGTGTTTTAAGTCTAATCTTGTTATTTCCGACTTGGTAGCATCTGTCTGGAGGGTACTTCTATTAATTTAGGTAAATTTTCTGTATTTATCGAAGGGAACACAAACACTTTTTCAGGCCGTACTTGACACCTCTTCACAATGATGAAAAGTCGAGCAATGCTTGAGCACAGTGGTTCCCAAACCGCCGGCCTGGTTTAATATGGCTCGCTGAACTTGGAGTGAAATAATTACACATTTTATGTTTTTACTATTTCTAGATACCAATAGTTACTACATCATTAGTATACACCATTACACAGCACATGAGCACATGTATGTTCGTCACAATTCAATTATTGTATACTGTTATCCTATTAATCATACGTATCGGTATCTGCATTGACCCCTTGCGGGCACTCCCAGCCCGCGAATATCTTTTTGCTTCTAATTTTGACCCCCGGTCAATCAACCCTGGGAACTACTGCTCTAGCATATAATCATCTTATACAGGATTTCGAACCTGTGAGTGTGAACCCACACATGGTATTCAGTTATAAAATGCATGTTCCTAAGCAAATTTGTCTGGTCCACCAGCCATGGATCCAAATCCAGCCACTATATTATCTATCTCATTATAGTGAAATGACTGAGAGACTTGAAGAACTGGAAACAACGGTCAAACAAAGACAAGAAGAACTTGATAATTACAAAGAACTTTTTACTGGGGTTTCAGAAGAACTCAGGATCAAGTCTGAGGAATATCTGGTCTTACAAGGAGTAAGTTATTGTGTAATGATTTATCAGGCTCGTACTTAGCCCATCAGTTCACGTACCAAATCGAGCACATCTTTGCCTGTTTTGTTGAGTCAAGGGGTTCACTGCTACAAAGGTGAGTTAGCTTCAACAAACTCATGCTTGTTGAGTTGAGAGAGTCCTAGACTGCATTGTGAACCCTTGAATCAGCAGTTCCCAAAAAAGGCGATTTGCCGAGCGCGTCCTGAAAATTAACAGAATTTAATATATGATTGAATATTTTATATATTGTATTTATTATAAATGTTTTATTGTTTATTATGTTAAATACTGCGTGCCTGCGTATATGGATCAATATATTCCTTCCTATGTCGTTTACTTTGTCGTTAAATAACAATTGAGGTAGACACTACTTGCTGCAATTTCTCCAGCTATTTACAAGTTCAAAAGGGATACAGTACTCATTAACGATCACAAAATTGAGTTTTGTTTAAAGGCAGCAATTTTTTTTGTGTAAGTGCGCCATGAGTTTTTTTTCTGTTAATTTGGCGCTATGCAAACAAAAAGTTTGAGAATCGCTGCCTTAAATTTTATGCTATTTGACAGTTAAGTCAGCCTTTAGGTTTTTTTAATTTTTTTTTACTTTTGAGTTGGATCTGAGATTAACATGAAAGGTAAAAATGCAAGTATTATTCTCTAGAAGCAATAATTGCCCACATTAAAAAATTATTTAAAATTTGGTTTGCGTTGTCGTTTTACAGGAATTTCATGAAACTCGACAACAAATGCTTGAACAATCTCATCTTGCTGTCGTCAAAGGAGAGCACGGGATACAGACAGTAAAAGATGGATTGGAGGTTAGGATTTATGGGGTTTTATTTTTAACTTAAAAGTTACAAAAAAATGAATCATAATTATGTTCTTGAACCTGTTGTTCTTGATGCAAATGTGGGTGACACACTGATTTTGGTCCCAGGTGTCGTGCAGCAAATTCCAATGCACATCAAAAATTCACTTCTAAACATTTGATATAAATCATAATTTTGTTTTAAAAAATGGAATATTTCACAAAAAAGAACTACCAAAAAATATGTAATTTCTGAATTGATATATTCTACAATTTTCAAATTTGACAATATCTTCAAATATTTTGCTTGAACTATACAGTCTTTCCAATTTTGGTCATTCTAATCACTTTATATTAGTGGCTATACATGATCAGTAATAAATTAAATGAAAAAGGAGTTTTGAGCCGTTTGAAAGGGCCTCGGATACTGAAAGTCTGAGAAGGACTGTACTAAAATAACCTGAATGTTGAAGATGGAAAATCTCATTAATCATTTCCATTATGCCTCATCTCAATGAGTAATATTTCTATAATTGTAATTATTTATGTTTAGGTTGTAGCAGTCACTGACGAGGTGACAGACAATATTGATAAAGTTCACAATAAAGTTGATAGAATGAAACATGCAGACAACGCAAATGAAACAGCTGCTAAAAATCATTGCACAAGGTATGTCTTCAAGTCAATTGTCACCGAGTGTTAGGGATTATAGGGAATTTAATTGACTATTTGAATCTCTAACTATTTAAATTTAAATCTGACTAATCATTTAATCAATATTGTTGCCAATGTAAGAGGCAACAAATTACTCTGTCCAAATTTTAAACAACTTTAGCTTTGCTTGATGAAGTGAGACTTACCTGAACATGTTGATTTCCATTTTGCAGAATTTCAAATAAAGCTGAAGGTCTGAACTCACAAACCAGTGAAATTATACAGATGAATAAACTTTACATGGAAAATTCAATCAAGAATCTCGGTAAGAAAATCAATCTTCCAAAATTTTTTTTATTATTGGTATAAAATTGTTTAATTGTACTTATATAAAAATATTGATTCTACTCTTTTATTGAAACATACTGCTCATTTCAAGTATCTTTCCTAGATCGTCATATTTATTCAAAGAGTAACTATTGTTAACTTACATTTACAGATGCAATGAGTGAGCGACGCACAAGAGAGAAAAATGAATTTGATCAGATGTTGTTGGAATTTCAAACTTCAGTCGACCAAAGTGTGAAGGTGAGCATTGAACTATATCTGGAATATTTTGGGGGGCAAGTTTGGGGTGACTCTCGTCTAGTGTTTATAATTTTATATGTCGTGTTAACATATATTTGGTGAAATGGTTTAATAATATTCTAGAATGCTCTTATTAGATTCAATTTAATTTCTAAAACCCGATTTCTGAAATTCGATTTTGACTAATATCAGTATTTGATGAAAATTGTTAATGTTTTACCTGATAGCTTAGTATAGGTTTAATAACACTGTATGTACTATATCATATATTTTATAATTTGTACTAAGTTCATAATTGAGAATATTCAAAATCCGAAAAAAATTTTCTGACACTTACTATCATTGGGCTTTTTTTTTACTTTTTAATTATGATTAGATTGTCATTTTTCTGTTACTCATGAATACCGTGGAGCATGAATTCCCATTTTTTTTTCAGGATTGTAAAGACACTCTTACTGTTGTAGTAAGTGAAACTGAAGATAAAATAAAGGACCAGAATGATTTCTTGACAGAAAAAGAGGTAGCTTGTTGTTTTATGTATGACAAAAGAACATTTTTAAATTTAAAAAAAAATGATGTTAGGCGATGCCGTTAGCCTTTCGCTTGGGTTTGCTTGTTGACTATTCTGCGATTTCATGCCAAATCGCTAGTTTCTAATTTTTTGAGTGTCTAATACTTTTTTCTAGGAACAAATGAACGCAGCTCTGAGTAGATTCCAAGAGTCATGTACATCTCGAATGGCAGAAATGCATAAAAAAATACAAGCTACATTGAAAATTGCTTCCGATATGGATTCTTTTTTCAGAAAACAGGTTATTCATAAATATGTTTTTTATACCATTACACCTTATTTCATTACAATTTTTATGCAATAAAATAATGTATGTGGACTGTGCCGATAAATTAACGCAAAAACACCATAGATATTTTTTATATTTTTTCAATCGACAGATGATGAAACAACATGAGATGATAACACAAGAATTTGAGAAAAATCAGGAGAAGGTACGTCATTATGGAAAGTATTGATAATTCTGTTATTATACTTATTGTTAAAGTTTATCAAGAGATGCTTCACTCTTCATACTTACTGTTTTGAAATGTGTTGCCCAGTCACAACGATGTTATTTGTCCGATGCATACGTGTATCAATAAAGAATACTGCGGATAAGCAATTTTACATTTTATATGAACTTGTAATAATGAAATCACTCCTATCCCGTTCATATCAACTGTAAATACAACTGACTGAAATCTATATTTTTGGCTTCCAAAATTCATAGAAAAATAATAGTTTATTTGCAACTCAAGAAGAGTAAGGGCAGCTGTTAGACTCTAACTACTTTATAATGTTATAATGCTCCCACATTTGATTAAATCATTAATCCTTTTACAGTTGATGGAAGAAGTTTTAAACACAATTAAAAGCCAGGTATTGTTTTTTAGTAATGTTAAATTAAAGTGCAGGAATTGTCTTATTTTGTGATAGTCTTGAAAGGTTGTGAAACGTCATATTGCCAGTATACGGTAGATTAGATATTGTGATCATGATTTAAAATCTTGTGCCATTCCTAGCATTACGAAAATTACCAGATTTTACATAATTCTTGATTTGTTTGCGTTATCTGAATACATATAAAAGTACAACAAAGTTTGAACATCCTCCTGGATGTACAGAGTATGGAATATTTTGTTAAAAGTTGCCAGCTCTGTTGTGCCTTTTTATTTTATTTTGAAATTTATTACGAAAAACCACTCACCTATTGTCCAATTACACTAACTACAATTTATTTTCCATGATTGATAAATTAGTTATAAGTTATCATTTGATGTATCACACTCAATATAAACATTGTTGCTATGCTCAAACGATTCTCTCAAAAATCGAATCCGTATAATTCAGTTTGCATCCAGTGTCGAGAGCTATAATTCTAAGGCAGAAGAGCTAAAAGAAGAATTGGAAAAAGAATCTGATATTTTCATGCAGAAGGTTCGTACAACATTGTTTTATTCAGGGTTATAATTTATTTTCTGTATCAGAAATTTTTCATGTGTGCCTCTGATTTTTAAAAATAACATTACTTTTATTTCCCGATGTGTTTGAGCATCTCAAGTCAATTGGCATATGTGTTCACAAAATTTCTTGCATCTGCGAAAATCACCTTGTTATCGCTGTAGCTTTTTCGAGTTTGTAGGTCTTTTTTAAGTGAAGCTGTATTTTGAAGCTCTGTTTTTATCTAGCGATGTGGAGTCCTACAATATTTAAAGAATTAAAATCTTTTTGAGTTTGCAAACTGAAATGCCATTACCCCAGAATACACATGTTTTAAATAATGTTACACAATATATTCCCACATACTAATGCATGTCAACTGAATCATAAAAAGGGTTTTTCAATATATTAATTTGATATGGTTGTTCCAACTATATTCATTGAATGAAACTGATAATGTATTTTGTTTCTACAATCCAATTGTATCTTCCCTTATCTAACACTTTGCTAATGTAATAACGAGAATATCGGTTGGAAACCGAAGACTTATCGATCGATAGTTAGGGGATCTCCCAAAACAGAAACTGCAGTTTCGATTCATCCGCTCTTGTAACTTGCGCACTGCGCATCGCACACACACACTCGGCGGGTTTCAAAATTCTCTCGCTTTACAAAAATCTAGAACACTATATCAATAATTGATTGATAACTCGCTAATTATACGACATAATTCGCCCAAAATCAATAGGCTTCTGGTCCGAGATAAGATGAATGCACATGCAAAATCTGGAGCAGATTCAATCTCGCTTTCGTGAGATATCGCGTGCATCTAACAGACACACACACAGACACACAGACAGACAGACAGACATACAGACAAATACCTATCAATATACTTACCGATCTTAAGATCATTAGGTAATAAAGTATAATCGTTTGTCTTTTCCTATTCACGCAGTTATTCTATTACATATTGACCGTTTTCTTAAAGTGCTTCTTATTTTTGTTTTTTTGTATCAGACCCAAAGCAGCTTACAAGGAATCGAAGAAAGTTTTGTTGAAACAGTTCAGGAATCTCTACAACATGGTGAAAGTACAAGTAATCTGATGCAACTCTGCAATTCGAAAGTTGAAAATATTTCTGCAAACATTATGGAAGATATGAGAGACACAGAAGAAAAAGTACAAGCGATAGTCGATGTGAGTGATTGAACTGGATTATTTATGATAACTTATTCGGATACTTATGAATCAGAAATATTGATTAATGATTGAGATGGTTAAGATAATTAAACGAGTGAATCGGCAACCCAATTTTTCAACAGCCAATGAAAGGGTATTAGGACTGAAAAGTCTTATTATCTTCGCTAACAAATTAACCCTGCCAACTTAAATTGAATAACATTATCATCAACGACACAGTGTGCCCCTCTTTTATCCTTTGTTTATTGCCATGGTGGCACATGACTATTTTCGATTGCGATGAAATATAAGATAATCGTCGCAAATTAAGTTCAATGAATAAGTCTCAGACGGAAAATTGCCACTCCTTTTCAAAATATTGTTTAAAGTAAACCCATCTGGATGACGAGACAATATTCACAGGATTTTCTAATGCCCAAAACTTCATGTTTTTACAGGATGATAATGAAACTGCCACTACCTTCTGTACTTCTGCTAAGAACTTGATAGAAGAGAGTGTACAGAGCAATGAAAAAGACATTGCAAGTTTGCAGGATATGATGACCAGTTCTAGCAAATTGCATGATCAAATATCAACGGTTGTTACAGATGGAACCACAGAATTAACAACAATAACTGAAGAATTCTGTGATTCGGAATTGATACATGTCAAACCTACAGGTCTATCTCAAATTTTAGCACACTATTATTATTCATGGCTAAAGTATTGCACACTGATTAACTAACTAACATGGTTTCGTCCCAGGATCTCAATTTTTTATTATACCAAAACTGCGGGGTAAGAATGACTCAAGTCATGAAATTTTCTAGATTTGACTAAAGTATTGGACACTGATTAACTAACTAACATGGTTTCGTCCCAGGATCTCAATTTTTTATTATACCAAAACTGCGAGGTAAGAATGACTCAAGTCATGAAATTTTGAAATTTTCTAGATTTGACTACGATCGAATCAAAAAGTTACATATTGTACACAATTTTAGAGGACCTGACTTGATTCTGTTTCACCACAGATATCTGATACTGATACTTTTTTAACTTGACTTGATTCAATTATAATAATATAATCAAGTGATACCATGATTCCTCATTAACAAAAGCAAATTCTGATAAAAACAGCAGTTTCTGTTACCTTAATTTGTAGAATACATTTGATTTGACACTTTGATTCGATTTATCTGTATATCTTATTTTTTAGAGCCCCAATTCTTTTATGCATAAAATAAGTTCAATTACATTTTGAGGGCTTGAAATCACCTAAATGGCATAAAATTAAGAAATATTTTGTTTGAATGGTTCTGTCTATACAGGAGAAACACCAGCAAGAAAAGATTATTCGTACCCTAAAAATTTCCAGTTCCTTCCACCCGATGACGAATTGTTAAAATCTTTCAATGAGAGAATGCAGATAGAAATGGAAGAAGAAGAAGAGAGATTGGCCATGGAAGAGAAACTTGCGAAAGAACGAGAGCTGGCTAGTGTAAGTTTCTGGATTTATTGGTTAGGAAGTTTGGCGCTGATGATATTGAAGTGTTTTGAATGTTATTAGACTACTTATTAATTAACCAATAATAACCCACCATTTTTTCATCAACTCACAAATGTAGTCTTACTGACAACTTTTTTTGTAACATTTTTTTCTAGTTGATCAAGTTATTACAAATATTTAAGATTCAGTAAAACTAAAAGTTCAAGTAGGTATTGAAAATGATTGTGTGCTAAGTCAATTATGTTCACTAAAATAGGCACCGCACCACTAAGTATTCCACTGAAGACAATTGAGTTCAAACCACATATTCTTCATGCAGAATGTCTGTACTGCTTTGTATCTTTTTTTAATTCGTCAAATAATACTGGCAACTGCATAATTTTCTCTTTTTTGCTTTGAGCAAACTTAAAAATCTTTGTGATCCATTTGACAATTATTACAAAACTTGCTCAAATTTGTGACCATGGGGCAATTAAATTGATTCTATTTTAATTACACAGGGCAACTCGTCCATCGAAAATATATCAGATATTTCTGAACCTGAGAATGTTCAATGCGGAACCGGGAAGCCATTCTTCATGGTATGTTTTGTTTTATCCATTATACTGCTATTTGTAACTACCGTACTACAAAAAATATATAAAAATCTAAAAAAAATTGTAACTACTATATAAAAATACTTTTATATCAAAGTACTGTTGCTAAACATTGGCCCCTTATCGAATTTAGGATCAAAAACTTCAATTTTTACCCTATAAAATATTATTATATTTTTATACGTAAATTTTAAGCCTTGACTTCACTTTGATTACTGTTACTATCTACAAATCATTATATTTTTATCATCATTTTTTTCTCTTGTTGCGCAGGCACAACATGAACAAAAGCGTTCCAAAAAGAATCAAAAGCAGCCAAACTCAAAATCTCGTCTTCCTCTAAAGTCGACTCAGAACATCCATTAGTCGATGATCACAGTACTGCCGCAATGTCCAATGTATCATTTTCGTGTAATGTGTGTATTTGTCAAGCTTGTATGTCAGTGATTAAATATGGATGAAAAAGGCTTACATTGCCATTGTAAAAAGTCATAGGAAAACTATTTTTCTATGTTCAGTTCAGTCTTTGTAATAATTTAATATGAAAGCCTGATTTGTCTTTATTGTGAGGTCTAAGAAATAATCGAATCGCCAGATTTGGAAAATTGTATTTCAGTGTATTAGTACACAAGTAGAAAATGTTTTAAGTTCAAGGTTTTTCAACAGAATATATTTTTTCTGATTGCTTGCTTTTATTTCATCATCTCAATCTGTTGGGAGTATTTTGAAGTTTTGAAACATGTTTATCCTGGTCGTGTTTTTATTCTTCTGCAACATTGGTAGCGCTTACAAAACAGTTGTCTTATAATTTTATCTTTGTGAGCTCAGTGCTGTTTTTTGTATATATATATTATATATGCCGGGAGTTTTGCATGGACTAACTTTGTTAAAAATGTCATTTCACTTCTGCTAATATTGTACATAGGATTATCACCAGTTATTTACTTTTCGGACTAACTCTATGTGTGGTACCATCTGTTTAGCATATATGTATCACTGCCAGTACCCAAACTTCTATGTAATCTACTGCGATTTGGATTTTTTCAAGATTTGATCATCAGTAACAAAATTACATGCAAGATTTACTGGTTCGTGATGAAATCGCAGTAATTCTATTTACTGCCTTCTGTTCTTCATTTTCTGCCTCTTGTTGTGCTTTGTTTTTCAATTTAGGACTTATTTGATTTTGTTATTCCAATGATTGTGTGGAAATATAATCTCAAATTTCACAACACATGAGTTTGCCCTCGTATAGTTTGGTGGCGGCAGCCGCAAAATCTAGGCAAGTAAAAAATAAGCCGCGGGAAGCTTTCTAATGCAGGGTTGCCATATTGTTTTTTAAGCCCAAATTTGTCATTTTTGGTATTTTTCGAACACGTTTGGCGTCAGAATTTCGTTTTTGGCTTTTTATATTGTCTGTTATTAAAATCATAGGAAATACAATATTTAGTGTGTAACAGTAGCTTAGCTACATAACATTTGAAATTCCCAGAGCATCCTTGTTGATTACCTTACTGCCCGCTCAGACAGATGTTCAAGCAGGGTTGTAAACATTGCCTCGTTTTTATTTTTGCGTGTTATTTGTCAGTTTTTAGTTCTGTTTCCAAAAAATAGTTGTATAACTTAGGTAATTGTCACCTTTAGTTTAGTTTAGCTTTAGTTTAATTGCAGTAATCAAAACTTAGCCTCATGAACGATGTCAAGATGTGATTAACTGCGCTAAAATTAGCTATTCAGTAGTCCACCTGTAAGCGGCAAGGGGTTAGATATTTTTTTTTTTTCAATAAAAATCATGGTTTCAAAATGTTTAGGGAGAATGTTTTAAAGGTATGTATTAAGGTATAACTAAATTGTGGCATTGCCAGCCCGCTCCAATTCTCGGTGTACTGGGAGTGGCCTCTCCTTGTATTTTCTTCGAGGCCACCCCGGCGTTTCTTTAACAATTTGTTTTTTAATAAATCGTTATCGTTGCAGTTTTAGTCTTGCTTTTTGTCTTAAATAATAGTTGTTCAACTTGTATCCTGCACTACCTTAAATAGGAGCATAGTTGTATAATATAGTCAACTTAATAATCTCCTTGTTCGATCATCTGGTTGCTAAACTTGTTTTTTTGTTATCTTTATGTCTGCCAGGACACACTTGCCTCTCGGCACTGATTCAGTTCAGAGTGTTCCTGGCAGTCAGAACATAGTCGTCATGACCACCCAGGGTTCAACGGCAAAGCCGCTTTTTTCTAGCGTAGCGGCGTCGTTACCCAGGGTAGCCAGTGTCAAAGGTGTGGAGATCTCTCGCGGCGAGTCGGTTGATGTCGTTACATCACAGGACATATCAACCGTCTCTGCCTTCTACGAGCTTTTCTCCACCGTTGCCAAGTTACGTCCTTTCAAATCTCTAGTGGAGGGTATTTTCCCCATCCGTCAGGGCTTATGGAACATTACATTCCAGCCCACGGATGGTGGGTCAACGCGAGATAACTTTTTAAATAGCGTTGATAATAGCTTGGACACTCCTCTTGGTAATTTAAAATTTGGTCTACCCGTGGCCCCGGCACACGCATCAGTGTTCGGAGTATACCGACTGAAGCCACGTCCGAGCAGATCAAATCAATGCTCAATTCCCTTAATTTTGGTTCAGTTAGGCGGGTATTTAAGATCAACCTAAAAAACACCCGGGTGTACAACGGTTATGTGCAGGCCATCGTTGATGACTTCGAGATCTCCCGATTTCCAGATTTCATCAACGTTGGTGGAATGCGTTGTAAAACGTATCTTCCTCCAGACCTGTACGTTAAATCCTGCCTGAACTGTTTCCAATCTGGGCATTTGGCCCGAGATTGTGTTCAGCCACCATCCTGTCGTCGTTGCAAGAAGTCGGGACATATTCAGCGATAGTGTCCGGAATTTCCAGCTCTACCACCTGCTGAGAAACCAGTTAGCGATGCAACACCTCGCGAAACCTCTCCTGATGTACCCGTATTGAAGCCTGTAGCAAATGTTGTTGATCCTCCAGTCAGCTCTTCTGCTGAAAACGGCTCCAATGACGCCATCGCGATACAGCTTTACCAAAGTATCATCGGTGGCTGTTTCGTCGCATGGACAGCTGAAAAAGAAAAATAATATTAGTAAGGATAAACCTACTGCTAACCAGTCTGGTACTCTCAGTCGTGATAAGGTGGATATACACCCTATCCCGGCTGAAGTTCGGGAGATCTATGATTCTTTGGAATCGAAATCTCCAAACTTGAGTAATAAATCAGAAGCAGTTACGAATGAAGAAAAGAAGAATTTGGAAAGTAACCCGGAAAACCTTGAGGAGAATGAAGAAAAAATCGTCGAGTTGGATAGCCCTCTGAGAGAAGACTATCATAAATAGCCAGACTCTCAGAGGGCTCGAATGAGGAACTAGCGAAGTTTCGGAAGAAACTCCGCAGTCATAAGAAGGCAAAGGACCCGGGTCCAGAATGGCAATGTTCGGATATTGAAGGTAGTCCTGCTTCAAGGGACGAGAAAAGAAGTCGGGGAAGTTCATCTTCAGAAGCTTCAATAACCCTCCCACCTAGTAAATCCCGGATTTTCTCCAAATTACGCATTGTTAAAAAACTTTAAAATAAACATCTGATTAGCTTCAATTTCGTTCTATCAGTGGCGGCGCGTCAATAGGGCCAACCGGGGCAATGCCCCAGTTGTTTTTTCGGTATAATAAAAATATTTCGAAAATACCTCAATATCGGTTGCACAGACTGTCTACACTAGCCATATTCTCCCGACATGGTTCATTTTTCGCTCGCAAAGCCTTCGCCGAGCGTCGACGGGGCGACGCCGATTTTGCCCCGGTTGCTCATTGTATATCGTATTCTCTCTTTTACCTTCCACTCGCCGCGTTGTTTTCTGTTTCTTTTACTAAATCATCCGGGGCTAGCCCCGAAATTATGACGACACAATGCCGACGTTTCTTACAACAACGTGTTTACATATTCACGCATTCTTCTCGTTCGTTGGTTGCTTGAAGAGTTGATAGTTTCCTCGCTTCGTTTTTGTCGCTTGTTTCGCTATTTGAATCAGTTAGAGACCTTTAGTCCATTTGTTTTCGATTTTTCCACATTCCTTTTGAGCTCCTCACTTCTTTCCGGCTTCGCATTTCTTAGCCTTAGACCTCATAATGAATAAGGTTGATGCACTACTTCGCACTCCGTTTTCGCAGCTGCCGCTGGAACAAAAATTAGAGGTACAACGTCTTGGCCTTATTAACCAAAAAATTGTTCACTGGAACAATCCCATGACGGAGGAAAGCGTCGGCGTACATTCTGCGCAGAAACTTGGTATAAAAAACACGAATGGTTGTGTTACAGCGGGGACAAAATGCACTTTTTTGTTTTTATTGCCTACTTTTTGCTACCGCCCCGTGACTCACGTTGGTGTAAATTTGGTTTTAGAGATCTTAAACATCTTTCCGAGCGTGCCAGGGATCATCAATCTTCTATGGAGCATCTGGACAATGCAGTAAATACGGAACATTCGGAAATGTTAATATTTGCAGCACAGTTGGATGAAGGACGCGCGGTTTCTATTCGTCGGCCAACCAAAACGTCGAGAAAAACCGCCATGTTCTCGGTCGATTGATAGATGTTTTGAAGTTCATTGGTTGTCACGAGCTGTCCCTCCGTGGGCACGATGAACGGGCTGGCTCTTCTAATAGAGGGGTATTTTTGGATATGGTCGAATACACCGCATCCCTAGATACAGTATTGAGAGATCATCTTGATGCCGCAACTGTTTCGAAAAGGACATCTAAGGATATCCAAAATGATTTGCTCGACTCGATGTTTAAAATTTATTTACAACATTTGGCTCTGGGAATTGAGAATTGCCAGTTCCTTTCGATTCAGTCTGACGAGACAACTGACATCACGTGCGTTTCCCAACTGGCTGTGATTTTTCGGTTTGTGAAAGATGGTAAACCTACCGAAGAGATTTCACAGCTTTGTACCAATCGTTGATCGCACGGCTTGCGGGATATCGGCTGTACTGAAAGAAGTGTTACAGCCTTACAACGCGAAGTCAAAATTGATAGGCTCAAACTTATGACGGCGCGGCAGTCATGAGTGGGTCGAAACATGGTGTTCAAGTTTATATAAAAAGAAGATTTTCCTCATGCGCATTTTTACATTGTTATGCACACCAATTTAACCTCGTTATTAAAAAATATGTGTCTTGATACCCCTCTCGTCCGTATATTTTTTGCAAATGTTTCGGGGTTTTCTTCATTTGTTTCCGTTTCGCCGAAGCGCTCTGACCTCCTTCGCCAGATATGTAGCCGCCGTCTCCCAGCTTGTGCACCAACACGTTGGAACTTCCAATCACGCGTGGTGCAGGGCGTGTCCGAAATTAGGTCTGAGCTCATTGAGTGTTTCAATGCATTCAGAGCTCTCCGGTTTGGGACGAACGCTCTGTGAGGGAGGCGGCAGGTCTAAAGCGTCTGCTAGAAGATGGTGAGTTTTCATTTTTCTCGCTTTTTCTCCACAATATTCTATCACGTGGATGTATTATACGGCGCATTGCAGTCAAGGCTAATGGATGGAGCGTCTGTGCAGTCGTGTATTTCAGACTTCTGCGATGCTGTATCTCGTATCCGGGAAACAATAAAATACGACGACACATGGAGTGCTTCTTTACGCCGCGGGCAAACAACGCAGCGTTTGATTTTGTCTGCAAAGGGATGCTGTGACATTCTGGTGAATCAAATAGGCGATCGTCTGCGCACTGAACACCTTGCCGCGTTCTCTTTGATGAACCCCAAAATTTTTTCAAAATTAGCACGTCATGTTCCAATCAATTTGTGGGCTACTGTCTCCAAATTTTACCCCATGATAAACGTGGGTAAATTGGAAAATGAATTGCGATGTATATACACCAATCAAACTTTTTTGAACATCACATCAACTTGCGCGCTCTATGGGTTCCTCATAGATAACACTCTAGTAACTACCTTTGCGGCGTCTGCAAAATTTATGGACATCATTTTGACGACGCCTATTTCTTCCGCCGACGCAGAGCGAACATTCAGCACGCTGAAGCGTATTAAAACGTATCTCAGAAACACAATGAAGCAAGATAGATTAAATTCCTTGGCTGTTTTATCCATTCACAGGGACGTTATATCTGGATGCATGACTTTAATCAGCGCATTATTGAGCATTTTGCTTCCAAGAAACTGCGGCGTGTTGCATATATGTTC